TTATGTATGTATCCTATGTGTATTTATGTATGTATCCTAGTATGTATTTATGTATGTATCCTAGTATGTACTTATGTATATATCCTATGTGTATTTATGTATGTATCCTATGTGTATTTATGTATGTATCCTAGTGTGTATTTATGAATGTATCCTAGTGTGTATTTATGTATGTATCCTATGTGTATTTATGTATGTATTCTATGTGTGTTTATGTATGTATCCTGTGTATTTATCCTATGTGTATTTATGTATGTATCCTACTGTATATTTATGTATGTATCCTAGTGTATTTATGTATGTATCCTATGTGTATGTATGTATGTATCCTAGTGTGTATTTATGTATGTATCCTATGTGTATTTATGATGTATCCTAGTGCATATTTATGTATGTATCCTAGTGTGTATTTATGTATGTATCCTAGTATGTTTGTATATACATATTATCCCAGTATGTATGTATGTATGTATGTATGTATGTATGTATCCTAGTATTTACTCTGAACTGTTCAGGTAGCAACAACCAAGAGAAACCCAGTCTTTCTGACTAAAGTAGACAGGACAAAGGGGCTCTTGGAGGGTGTAGACTGTCATGAAAACCATAGAAAGACAAAAGTTGCAGAAGGGAACTAATTCAGTGTTTGAACCATGTAAGTTCCAGGCTCTATGTGGAGCAGGTCATGTGTGGTGAAGACCAATAGAAAGCATCAATTTCAAGAGCTGAATTACCAAATGTCACCCCCTATTTGCCAGAGAAATACCTGAACACTTGAGAGAGGCAGATGAAAATAGCAAAACACTTTAAAAAGCTAATACTGAAACTCCTACTTACAACAGGCAAGAGACTGAACATTCTACACAAGGTATTAAAAAAAATGAAAAATCTTATAACAAAATTTGGGACCCTGGCTATACTCAGTAACAACAACCAACCTGGTCAATTGTCAGTGTTAAAAATCAGCACCAACACTGCTGTCCTTGACCGACTCTGTGTTGAAATGATCAGATAATAGTCTATTAGCCTGGCTCGGTGATGCACACCTTTAATCTCAGCACTTGGGAGGCAGAGGCAGGAAAATCTCTGTGAGTTCGAGGCCAGCCTGGGCTACAGAGTGAGTTCCAGAACATTCGGGGCTACACAGAAAAATCCTGTCTCAAAAACAAAAGGAGGAGGAGGAGAAAGAAGAAGAAGAAGAAGAAGAAGAAGAAGAAGAAGAAGAAGAAGAAGAAGAAGAAGAAGAAGAAGAAGAAGAAGAAGAAGAAGAAGAAGAATAATCAGCTATTAATGATGAGCTCTAGGCATGGGACCCTCATGAATGTGGAGAGAAGAGACTCCACTAATTCATCCTCTGTGCACCATAGCACATGTATAATACACACAATGGTGACAATAAATAAATTTAAAAGAAGTTATTGTAAGCATCCTTTATATGGTTAAGGTGACCACTTATAAAACAAATGGAAATATTCAATCAATTAATATGCATGGTTAAAATTAATAATTTAGAAATGAAAACTGTAACACTTGAGGCTTTTTATTCACTAGATCTGTTTAATACACTCAATGCACTCAGTAGGTCAAGAGTCATTACACACTTGGGAGAGCTAAGGACACCTTTTTAAATGACCGGAGGCTTGAGTTACTAAAAGGACGTGCATTCTTGTCAGTAGAGACCAATGAGAGGATAAAGAGATTGAAACGTGTGTGTGTGTGTGTGTGTGTGTGTGTGTGTGTGTAACAACAGAAGAAAACTCCCCAAAGACTGTAAGACACTTAATTCTGTAAATTCAAGAAGCCCAGAGAACCCCAAATAGGTTAAACTCTGTGAAAACTATACCCAGACATATGATAGACACACAGCTGAAAGTCAAAGATAAAACCAAAAGGCTGTTAGCGGAAAAGAGCACATTGCACAAGAGATAATGATGCTTTAAATGACCACAGACTTGTCATAAAAATCAGGAAGACAAAAGAAGACCTACTGGGTGGGATGAACAGCCTGGGCATGGCAGGGAAACTGGAAAACCTGTAGCAGTCTAGAGACCACAGCTGCTGGATGGGAAACGGTGCAACAGAGCAGATGCCTGGTGAGGTACAGCAGCTGCTGCAGACAGATGAAGCCAAATGCTGCACCAGGGTGAGGACAGGAACGGGGGTACCTCTAAAGCCACACCCATATAAAGACACAGTCCGAAGCACTTCTCAGCTCAACCAGTGATGTGAGGGAGGTAATGATCACTGCTCATTATTGAGGACTATATCGTGATTTGGAGACGGAAAGTGACCCCTCCTCAAACCATAAAGAAGGGGGCAAAATATAAAACTACAGCAGTTTGTAAGGAAATTAGTAAGATACTGATGGAATGGATCCAGGAGACTCTCACAGGCCTGTAATGACCTGTCGCGTAAAAAATAGAAATTCCAGAACAAAAATATAATGAAGTCAGAACAAAGGCGATAATTAAATGAACGGTAGTGAATATTTTCTTCAGAGGAAAAAAAAGCATATTAAAAGTGCTATGTTCCAGACTGAATTAGTTTTAAAAAAAGGAAAAGAAAAATATGTGAGAATACCCAGTTAATAATTCTGAACTCTGAGGTTAAAGAAGAAATGCTACGTGTAGGTGAAGAGAGGTCAGGCTGTAGGCAAGCCTGTAGGGCATTTTCTTAAGTAGTAATTGATGCAAAAGGGCCCAGCCCATGGTAGGTGGTGCCAACCTTGGGCTGGTGGTCCTGGGTTCTATAAGAAAGCAGGCTGAGCAAGAAGCCATGAGGAGGAAGCCAGTAAGCAGCTCCCCTCCATGGTCTTTGCATCAGCTCCTGCCTCCATGTTCCTTCCCTGTTTTAGTTCCTGACTTCCTTTGATGATGAACAATGATAGAGAAGTGTAAGCCAAATAAACACTTTCCTCCCCAACTTGCTTTTTGCTCATGGTGTTTCATCACAGCAATAAACCCTCACTGAGACAATATGTAACGTAAGTGCTAATGATGTTCAAAATAGCAAGGGATACTGGAGAAAGAAAAGGTTAATGGGTACCAAACTACCCCAGGAAGGCCGAGGAGTCAGACTGGAATTTAGAAAGGAAGAAAGCAAAATATACACACAGTGCTGTGGATTGTGGGGTCTGGATTCAGGAGTGGGTAAGTGCCAAGCAAAACAAAAGACTTCTAGAGACCCTGGCTTTAGCCTGGGACTCAGGAGGTATGAGTGCTTTCGAGAGGATATGTATCAATGACACAAGCTATGGAGTTTAAGGCATTGTGACAGCAGAAGACCGAAGACAAGACATTTGGAATATAAATTAAGAAATAAGTTTTTCCCCTGTAGTATCTCCCTTATTGAAAAGTTCAAGAGTATTCATTAAGTAATGTCATATATTTCCTTAGCATGATCCCTTCCCATTACCGCCTTGTTTATGAGAGCTGAGACTTCAAAGTAGAGTTGAGATGACAGCGTGTTCTTTTTTTTTTTTTTAACCAGAATTAGAGATTCCATTACTGATGGGCTGTCAGCATAGTTTATAGACCACGCCGACTACAATTCTTCTCCTCTAAAAACTTGACAATAAAAACCATCGTCTTTGCATGGCCCATATCTTCCTGTTAATCCGCTCTTATTTCAAACACCACCGCTTGCAGAGGCTTCTTGGAAGTACTTTGTTCAGAGTGGATGGCCAGACATCCCTTACCAGACTTCTCTATCTGGGTTTTTGTTGGTTTTATTTTGTTATGTGTTTTTTTTTCTTGTTTGTTTTGATTTCTTTTTCTTTTGTTTTATTGTGTGTATGTGTGTGCATGTGCATGTGTGTGTGCGTGTGCGTGCGTGCGTGTGTGTGTGTGTGTGTGTGTGTGTGTATTTTTGCCTGCATGTATGTATGTGCATGCCCTGTGCCCGTGGAGGCCAGAAGAGAGAGTCAGAAGCTCTGAAGATGGAGTTCCCAATGGCTGTGAGCTGCCATGTGGGCACTAGTAACGGAACCCTATTCCTCCACAAGAGCGTCAAGTACTTTAACCGATGACCCACCTCTCCAGCCTCTTGCTGTGGGTTTGTTGTTTGTTTATTTTTTCCTTAGACAAGGTCTCATTCTGCCACTCAATCTGGCCTGAAATTCACTGTGTCAACATGGCTGGCCTCAAACTTGTGGTAATTCTCCTGCTTCAGACTCCCATGTGGTATGATGGGACTAGATCCTCATGCCAGTCCTCAGACCGCCCCAATTTGTATACCTCAACACATTCGTTCTACTACCTGACGAATTGGTGTTCTCCTGCCTCACTGTGATGGAAGCTTGATGAGAAGCTTTGCCCTTTTTTTGCCAACACCTGACACTTAAGTGATGCCTTGGTATTGGTGCAATGTTTGCTAAGTGATCCAACCCCCCTTGTGTCTCCCAGGTTCCCCCGTTTTCACTTTGCTCTATACCTGTGATCATCACAGTCCGTATCCGGGCAGAGATGAGCTCTTCCAAGACAGGCTTTGTCTCCTCCTTCAGTCGATTCTCCAAGATCAGTAATCCCAGAAATATCAGGTCCGATTCTACCTTCTCCCTGATTAAACAGAAAAGCATTGTGGGGCTTTCTTACAGTAACGACGATGACAAAAAGACTGAGCTCCCCACTGGACGAGCCCCCCTCCAGCACTGTCCCCAGCCACAAACAACCCTGCCTGGGGGCAGGAAGAGTCAGGGGACTACAGTTAGTTATGACTGCTGGGGTCTCTGCGACGTCTGAGCTGACACTCATCTCCTCACTTATTCACCACAGAGGGGAGAGAAAGTCACAACAATGAAGTGAGAAACAAGAAAAATAAAACAAAATGCCACTTTCTCCTGAAACCAAGGCTGTACAGATATCAGTCCAGCCTCGTGAAGTATGGTAGAGATCAGCGAATGGGCCCTTTACTAAAGCTAAGCTGGACCCTTGCTTCTTCCTCAGCTGGAAGCTCTACTCCTCTGCATAGAATACCCCCACACCTCGGGGAGGCCGCTATGATAGCGTCTACAGGACCAAGTATAGGAAATGCATTTGGGGTTGGAGACTTGAACATTCCCACGATTCTATTATTTCAACACAGACACAGAAACACGACCCCAGCACTGCCTGTTCGTGCTGAAATGCAGATCAAAACAGCACTCCATACAGCCTTCGTGCCAAGCTTGCCCTGTATGTCCAGCCTGTGGACCAGCTAAGGCCAAGCTTTGTTGGCGATGCTCCCAGAACCTTGTGGCACCTTCCTCCACTAGGTGGCAGGAAGTGACGAGTTTCAGCTCCTCACCTCAGAGCAGCTCTGGGAGGGTGGCATTCCCTATAACGCTGAGCATGGTGTTCAAGTCCCTGTGTGACCATCTTCCAAGCGTTAGTGCAACTACAAGCATCAATAACTTCTCCTCCTGGCTCCTGCTGAACCACTCACCATGGATATGCCCTGCACTCAATCATGTCCGGATTTTTGGAGATTTTCTCGTTTCATGGCCAACATTAGTTTCCAGGATCTGTCGGAGACATCCTCCCCATGTCCTGAGTCCCACCTCATGCTGCCTGACTCCAAGGCTTCTCCACAGAGGAACAGCTGCTCTCGCTACATCTCACTTCTAACCCGGTTAGCCAGTTCTTTATTTATTCACGCCATTTCAGTATTGGCTTTTGGATCTGCCTCTAATCCCGGAACGGAAGCCCACCTGAGTCAAGATTCTGCTCATTAATGCCCACTTGATGCCCACGTGCAGGAACCACTCAGCAAATACCACCCACTCGGAACACTTTGCTGCCTGCTGGTGATCATGTCTGGCCATACAAGGAAGGTGAAATTGTTTGCTCTTTCTGCATTCTTCCTGGGAACTGAGACAGTGAGACCTATCAATGCCTATTAAGCACCTACTAGGAGAGGAAATGGGGCAACTCTGCAGAGGTTGCAGGAATTCCAGCTCCAAGATTTCATATTCAACTGGGAGTAAAGCATTGAGCATGGCCACCTTGTTCATACGCAAAGCTGGGAATTGTGTCATGGCAGGCACAGAATTCAGAGGTCTGTGGGGTCAGAGGAGGGGACAGGCATTTCTTGGTATAGTGATTAGAGTCTTCCTGAAGGAGTTATTTGAACTTCCCTTCAAGGATAACTCAACTGAAGCCTGATTAGAGTTTTACAGTCTTTCTGTGCCACAGGAATTAGATATTTTCAGAGATTATGTGTCCTGAGTCAATAATCAATTACCACATTGGGCCAAGAAAAATGGCTGCAAGGTCAAGCCCCCAAGGCCATCTTGGAACTCCCATTTCTAGCTCCTCTGGCATGTGGCCAGCGTAGAGCTCAGTGAATGACACGATCAGAAACCACAGTTCCAGCCTCAGCCCATCACTGCCTTGCTGTGTGACCTCGAATAAACTGCTGTCCCCGTGTGGTACCCCAGCACATCGCTGCCTCTCCAAAGTTCCTGCTGTCTCTAACATCCCTTCACTCTTCTCAAATCTGAACCAAGAAGGGAAAAGAAATGGTCGCAGCACTGTGACGCCTGTAGCAGCGACTACACTAGGAAAGAATGGTGGGTGTGGCACAGACAGAAGTAACTCTAGTGTGCAATGGCGAACACACAAAGAGCTGCCACTCACCCCTCACACCTCTTGACTGCTTGACTGAGTATTCCGGGACGTTTTAAGTCACCAGCAGTTTGCATTATTGATATTGAATCATCAACCTACTGTTGGTGGACATACTATCGTTCTATAGTCAATATTGTTGCACTAAATAGTAATAAAAATGCTACTAGTATATTTCCCCCAGCTATGTTTGTCATATAAACACGAAGTATTTTTGTAACCCCAAAATTTTGCAGGAATATCACTACTATGCAATATTGAGGTGAAGTTATACTGTTTCCTTCTATGTTTTCCCCGGAGTTGTTAATGACTTCACTGAGCTGTCTTCCTTGCAGCGAGGCTGTGTGAGGCATTGAGGCTATGCTACACAGAACACTGCAGGGAGTCAACTGTAGTCTCATTGAATCTATTCTCAGGTATAAGCAACTATCCCGTGTGTGTGTGTGTGTGTGTGTGTGTGTGTGTGTGTGTGTGTGTGTGTGTTCACTGGGGAAGAGGGATGTGTATGCATGAGTGTGTGTGCACGTGGAGGCCAGAGGACAGTCCCCATCATTGTGTCTCACTGGCCTAGGATGGCCAGTCAGCCCAGGGACAGTCAGCTTCTCCATCGGTGTGATTACAAGCACAGGTCACCAAACTTTACATCTCTAGTGAGTTCTGGGATTGAACTCGGGTCCTTGTACTTGCAAGACACGTCCCAACCGAGCCATCTCCCAAGCCCACAACCTGTTCCCTTAGCTTTACTGGCATTTGCTAAGAATTTATTAAACTATTAATTTTTTTGTAATGGACCGTTTTCTTCTCCCTTTTAACTCCTACATGGGAGGGTATGTTTTACAGATAATATATGCAGAAAATAGCACACATAAATTCAAAGATGCTAAGGGAAGAGGCCAAAATATAGTTACAACTAAAGGATGCTAAGTCAGATGAATTTGAAAATATGTATGTGGGACTATTTGAGTTTCAAACACTAAAATTAAAAATGAGCCTTGATTAACCCTACAAAGGCAGTAATAGTAGTGGCTGACAAAGATACTAGAAATGGAATTTAAGGCAAAATAAATAGGATAGCCCCCCAACAACAACAAAGTGGAACTGTTGCTGCTGAAGTCCATTTCAGTGACTGTGCATCCTTATTTGAATATACACATGTCAAAACTTTCTCCAGTATGACCCTTTGGAAGGTTTTCCTATTTTTCCAGAAACATTATCTAGATTACTTAAACCCAATTGACATGTTATTTGTTTCAGTAGCTGTGTATCTTGTATTACAAAGTTTTTTTTTTTTCTAAGCAAATGTGAAGCTTTAACCAATTTACATTATATCAGGATCAGGGCCACAATTTCAAACCCTGACAACACTGGTCATGTCCACATAACTTTTCACAAAGCCCTAAGGTCACGCTATGTTTGGCATTTTGTACAGCTGTTTCTCATACATTCTGCCAGTGTTCGCATTGGCTTTGTGATTTGGGGAGGGTTGGGTGACTGTATTCCTGTTCACCATACTCAGAGACACCAAACACAAAAGATGAGCATGGCATTTTGCTGGGCCCACCTTAGAACTTTTGCCTCCCATCCCAGTCAGATGCATCTTGCCCAAACCCTCTTCTTCAGGAAAGCGTTCCCCTTTTACCTCATCAAGGCAGTTGCGGGACAGTCATTCTCCAGCTTCTTGTAAGCCAGAGCTATGACCCGGAACCCCTGTGTCGTGTAAATCTGAAGTTCACTAATAAAGCTAGATGGTACTGTTTAAAAACAAACAACAACAACGAAAATGGTATTAGTATGCAGCATTTACTTAGCCAGCATGGGTAGAGAAATTATTCACAATAATCCAACTCTTACCCAAGAAAGCATGCTTTTAAAAAGTTACATAAACCTGGGCAGTGGTGGCTCACACCTTTAATCTCAGAATTCGGGAGACAGAGGCAGGCAGATCACTGTGAGTTTCAGGCTAGCCTGGTCTACAAAGTGAATTCTAGGACAGCCGGGGCTACACAGATAAACCCTGTCTTGGAAAATCAAAGGAAAAAAATTATGTAAGCAAGGCAATGGGAAATTGTAACCATAACTGTATTATCAGTGTTAACATCTTAAGAACGAGTAAAGCTGAAACACCTACCATGAGACAGAAGCACTTGAAAAAACAAACAATAGAGAATATGTGGAATTCTTTATTCTCCAGTTTAAATGACAAATATTTGCTAAGGGTATAATATGTACAAGCTCTACTCTACAGATGTCTGTTTAGTTGGGTTAAAAAATAGTGCTCTGATATTAAAACGAAAACCAAAATGACCATTGCCATTATTGGCAATGCAACACTACGCAGAGTACTTTGGGGGAGCTTCTGCACTTGGAGAGGAGGTGGGCAGGTGAAGGGAGGAAAGTGCTTTCTGGCTGAGAGGCCCCGATATGCTCAGGCACAGGGGTCTGAGACAGCTCAGAGGAAGCCTGAGATGTGAGGGATGAAGCAGGAGACCGTAACATGAATGTATGGTAGGGAGCGCAGATCATGAAAGACTTAGCTAGGATCTCAAAGGAATTTGAAAATCTGGTGGAAGCTGTGGAAGGCAATCAAGGGGGGGAAATGCAAAAAGAGTAGCAATGCAGTTAGCAGGGAGGAATCAGGGGTGAGTCCTAAATAGGGAACTAGGGGATGGGGTGGAGGCGGTCATTACCCAAGATGGAAAATTGGGAAATACAGACGGGAAAATTTTAAGCTTGATTTTGGTATGGAGCGTGGAACACCCATGAATCAACCACTAAGTGATGTCCAGCTGGCAGTCGGAGCTAGAGTGTTGTGCGGACAAGTTTGGCTGAAAAGAAAAGTGTCATTTGTGTCCCACGTCCATGAGCTAACCTGTGTCAGGTTGGCAAAAGCTGGCCACTCTCTCGGGCGCACCTTTCATGAATGCCAGTCGGTCACCTCGCATCTCTTGGACAATGACTGTCATCCTCTGCAATGCCGATGAGAATGGGAACTGACGCAGGATGGCGAGTCCTTCCACTGGGACCTGGTTGATGGATGGGGAATGGAGAGGCACATGCTGGCAAAAAGTCTAGCTATTGGGAATTAACTGCTCCACCCTCAGTCCCTGTTTTACCAAACAATGGAAAAATAGAACACATTTTTCACATCATCCATTCAAGACACATCCATTAGTTTTCCAACACTTCGGGTAGGGCATAGGTTCCCCCGGTATGGGAAGACTGGCATGCAAGGCTTACCTGGCCAACTGTGTCTGTCGGCTTAACGACCATGGTGTGTGCCAGCATTCCCTTGATGTGGAAATCATCCCCAGAAATAGTCATTTCCTGTTTCGCAGATGAGATATTTCACTGTCGGGGTTTGTTTATTCTTCATACACTGATACTAAGTTTGCACCCTCCTCTTGCGGAGACCCGCCCTCAACCACCTCAGTGTGTTGATGGGCTTCCTCCTCCTGCTGCTGCTGCTGCTGCTGGACTAGTGAAATCAGATTTATTCCACTCCAGGAAAGCAAAACAAAATGTACAAGGCAGTGGAAATTCTGGAACTCGAAGGACATGCACTTCTGAATTATTCATGCAATTTATCTGGCTTTCGCTGTTGGAATTGCTGCAGAAAGGTTCATTCTCTGCCTCTGAAGAGCTTAACTTGGAAATGTTGAGTCTGAATCTCCAGGCTTATTTTGTGTGAAGCAGGTACCTCATGGTCTTTCTTTCCCTAGAGTCACGGTTGATCCTGCTGTTCCCTATCTGTCTAAAGGGGCCTGGGCAGGGCGGATTTTTGCCCTAGGCATGATCACTGGTCTAGGAACAACTGTAATAATGATTCTAAATTATAGTTGAGGAAACCTTTTTATCTAAAGATATTACAGTTCTTTGTAATCATCTAATTGGGTGGATGACAAAAAAAATGTCAGAAAGGAAACTGTAGCCTCTACTTAGAGATACAGAATCAGTATTCTAGAGTGGATGAGAGACTGCAAAGCAATCACATCTGTTACAGAAGGGAGAGGCTCCAGAGTCATCTCTTCCAGAGGTGCTTACCTAGTCCCCAGGGCCTGGGCTGCACACAATGTCAGGGGAAAAGCTTAGCGGTAACAGAGAAGCTGAAACCATGTCTCCCCCCTGCTTTGGCCACCGCCACAGCAATGCCAGAGACAGTCCTTACAGGCTATTCCCGAATAAGGTTCCCTTGGAGGACAGATTAGCAACCTTTATATGGATAACACTTGTCTGGATAACATCTCCTCATGCCACAGCCTTGAGAAGCAAGGTCCTCACATGCTGGAAGATGGCACAAGGTTGAGCCTCGGTTGGCGGGGAGCTAAAACTAGAACTAAAGAGCAAGATTCTTACACCACAGGAGTGTCTGCTCTTGGATCTAGTTTGGAACCTCAGTGGAGGTGATGACGACTCTGTAATCAATTTCTATTGTCGGTCTTGGAAATTAGAGGAATAGTCAATAAATTGGAATAAAACCCTTGGTTGCCATAACTCTCTAACATACCCAAGCACTGTGGAGATCAGTGTTTTCTAATTCCCGTGCACCGGATTGCATATTTTTCCTTTTCTTTTTTAGTGCAAAACTACCATTGTGTACATTTATGAGATATAATGAGATGCTTTGACCTACGTATATATTATAGAAAGGTGAAATCGTCATAATTAACATATCATCACCTCACCAAATTAACTCTAGAAAACTCTGAAACCAGCTCACAGACTGGTAGAACTAGGAAATAATTATGTAAGGATTATAACGACATTGATAACTACTAAACTCACAGTAGGCATCAAATACTTTGGAACTTACAACTATACCAAAGATCTTTATTGTACCATCTCATTTAATCCCACGGCAAACCTACGTTACACATGGTTCCAATCAGAAAGCCTGGTTTATACCAGTTTGCCCTTTACATCATATTGGAAACCCCCACGTTTTTTTAAGTATCAAAGAGCTGTGATACAGTTTGTGTTGTGCTGGTACTAAAGAAGTTTCTTGCATTCTCTAAAAGTCAGACACTTACCCATTTGGTGGCTTCAAACATTTTGAGGTCCATAGGGTCTCCCTGGATGGTCCCATCAAGAAGAATCAGAGAGTGGCAGCTGGCCATGGCTGCACACAGTGGGCCCTGGGGCAAAGCTTTGCCTGAGGCAAAGCTGTGGACTGCCTGGAATCTGAGAGAGGAGAGAGAAAAAGATTCGGTCCTGGGCCCTCGTGCCAAAAATGGAGCTTCTTGAAGGTCTTTGATGTAATGCACACTGCTGCATTTCCCTCTAGTCTCCGTAGGATAGCAGTGTGTTACCCATCTTGCCCTGCAGGTCTGTTCAGGAATACTAGAAAGGCTCAGAGGCTGTTCCATGCTCCTTTTCCAACTTATTATTCTTCCCAGACTTATTTAATCCATGAGTCTGGAAAGAACTAGAAGACTACTTTTGTTCTGAGGTCTGCTCCTGCCCCAGTGACTAGATCACTTCTCTCCGGTCATGGGCAGACTCCAGGTGTGTTCGGTACACACCACTTTCAAGACTATGGGGCTGGGCATATTCTCTGTATCTATCTCCTAACACGTTAGACGCTTGGTCCACCATAGACGTTTGATAAACATATAAATAAAGGCGTGAATGGTTAATTCTTGGAAAATTCACAAGTCATACGGTGAAGAAGTGAACAATAAAATCATTCCGGAAAGGACCATGTGCATCCCCTCCTCAACACTGGCATCTTGGTGCCACTATTAGCCTCATCATTTCCTACAGAAAGTGACTTTGTCTAAAACCCATGGAAAAAGAACTCATATGTGATACGTAAGACTCTTTCACTAATTGGAAGAGTAAGTCATTGAGTTCATCCTTGGCCCCACTAGAGGAATGTCCCCTTCAGCCTTGTTGGGGGGCCCCTTCCCAAATGTGTAGCACAGTAGTTGGGGTGGGGTGGGGTCACATCACAGACTGTCTGAATGACAGTGGTTTCTTCCTAGGAAGAGGCAACATCCGTTTCTTAAAGTCCGTCCGAATCGACTAGCCCTCCCTTCTCTCGTGTTGGCATCTTTTGGATTTTGAGCTAGCTCTGTAGCCCAGGCAGGCCTGGAGGCTGCAATCTTCTTGCCTCCTCAATAGCTAAAATTACAAGCCTGTACCTCTATGTCCAGCCTTAAAAAAAAAATCCTTTATGGATACGCATGTCATCTGCACTTTATAAAAGAACTACGATCACAAACTGGACTTGATACATTTGAAAAGAGAAAAAGGACACAATGTTGGGTGGGGTAGAGAAGGGAATGTAGGTCACAGAGGAGTTGGAGTAGGGGGTGAATAAGATCAAAATACACGGGATGAAATTCTCCAAGAATTAATTCAAATATCTCATTACTAAAAGAACTACAATCAACCTTGGACACGTGAAATACTTTGTGGCTCAAGTTTGAGGGAAATGCTTTCATTTTCAAACAACAGTGTGCCACATGCCCCATATATCAGTTCTGACCACACTGGAGGTTGACGCCGGGGAAGATCAGCAGACATGGAAGCAAACTCAGATGTAGCCACAAGAGGGCTGGGTCTGCAAATCTCTAAGACAGCAAGTTGAAAACTGCCACCACCACTCACCAGCCACTCCTAGCCCTCTCCCCCGCCAGACCCACAAACACAAAGGAATCTTTTCTCAATGAGCAGTTTCTGGCAGGCAGAGGTTATGGTTCTCAGAATCAGGATACTAAGAAACCGGGTACACTAGCTACTGTCTCATAGACAGTCTCTTCCTGAAAAGCAGGATACAGAGTCAGTGCTGGCCTTCCCTACTATGTCACCTCGGTTAAGGACAGTGTCCTGGTGCTGTCCAGATCACTGACATTGGACCAATACCAGGCCTCTGCCAAACAGGCTTAAAGCAAAGTTCATTTCAGAGAGTGTTTACAAACTCCCCCTTGCCTCCTCAGTTTGTGGGTAATATAGGACAGACTTGAGGCTAATATGCATCTTTAGAGAGACCTGGAAATTTCTAAGGGGAGAAACAAAAAGATAGGACTTCAGTAATCATTGCTCAGCAAAAGCCAAAGTTCAAGTGTCTCCCTTAGTCGTGTAGAGAACAAAGGCAAGGCTCTGGGAAGAGGCAAGTCACCAGAACCACGGAGCGGTTAGCCCAGGGTACTCACCCATTCTGGTCACAGGGCACAACTCCCCAAGGATCCAAGCCACCCCTTGTTAAGGTGCCTGTCTGAACAGAAACAAGTCTTTGGATTGCATGGAAGATCTGCTCACACAGTAGTAAAGGCAAATACAATACATTTTAATAGAGAAATATACACCACAAAGATATTCCCAACACAGGCTCTTTAAGGAGAACCACATTACAGGTGTTGTGTAGTGGGTATCTGGGTTCCAAGAAAGAAGTTGCAGTGAATGCAAACATGGCAAGCTTGCATTGGCTGTAAACTTTTGTGTCCTCTGTGGTAAAAAAAACAAGGTACCTCCTCTCACCCCAAGAGACTATGTTGAACATCTAATTGTAGATGGAAGAACAAGAAAGGCCTTGGTAAGACTGTTAAAACAGCAAAATGGGTGGATTCCTGTTTTTTACAGCAGAAGCTAAAAGAATGTCATCAAAACTGAGTAATGGAGTTGAAATTGTACCTGCAAAGCACTTCTAAGACTTTGAAGAGAAGTCTAAAGAAATAGCCTAACCAACTGATTTTTTTTGTTTAATAAAAAAGTACATGATGATAATTTTCTCAGTGTAGTATAACAACCAAGAGCTCAGGATAAGTTGAAATACCATCTATGTAACTGGAAATATCACATAATCCCTCCAACACCAGAACCCTTATCTACAACATGATCGTAATCATATAGAGTTGTCTTGAATATTAAATAGGAAGTGAATGGTTTAATGGCAAGCCCACAGTTAGAGCTAATAATAGTGATGTAAAAGACTCACAGTTACTGCTCATTGTTTTGTTCAAATTTATGTTACAATTATCTCTTCCATTCTTGTTTCTTTTTTCAAACTCACAGTATGACATCCTTAGTAAACAGTTTTCCCTTATGTTGCTGGTGTGGTCATAAAATAGTACTACATGGTGACATAAGCCAAAGACCCTTCTGTTCTCAGTGTGACTTTCTGATTCGCCACTAATCATAAAATCCCATCCATGCTCGTAGCCTTCCATGCACTGTTTAAAGGATACAGAATTTCCATGTGGGAAGATAAAGATGTTTCTCAAGATGGATGATGCTAATGGCCGCAGAACAGTGAAAATGTACTTAGGGGCAGGCAGTGAGCTAGGCACTTCAAATGATTGACATGGCAAATTATCTTATATTTACTTCAACAAATAATTATTAACTAAAAGGAACAGAAGGCAGCAAAGACCTCCAATGGTTCCCTGTAACTTAGAGAAACATAAAAATGTGGAGGCAACGAAGACCTCCAATGGTTCCCTGTAGCTTAAAGAAGCATAAAACCGTGTTGACTAGACATTCAAGGTTCACAAACACTCTCTTCTAATACTAGCATCCTGCTCGGGTCCAGACCATACTGTCTTGCGCTGTCCTACCACCGCCATGTTGGGCCTTTGCTCACCTTCTTATGCCACCATTGTTTCCATCCAGTCCTCTCACAAGGCGACTTTATCCCCTACTCAGTGTGTTTAACACTAACAACCCCGGGAAAAGGAGAAAGGAGAGGCTGCTCGGGAGAAAGTGGCAGATGACCGAGACTTCATTTTAAGCATAAACGACAGCTGGAAACATAGACTAGGGTTTGCTGCATGGCTGTATTGTCAGCAAAAGTCTCATATTAACACACAGTTTAATAAGCCCTTTCTTTTTCCTCATCCCATAATTCAATAACTACTTACTGAGCATTGACTCAAGTGCCAAACATTGTTCTAAGCATTGGGGATACAGCAGAAAACATAATTAACTACTTAAATTGGGGTGGGGGGGGGCGCGCGCGCGCGCGCGTTCATGTGCTTCTGTGTGGGGGTTTTGACTGCATGGAACAGAGTATGTTTTGATACTTTGTTTTTCATAGACTGTCTCAACTGAAAGGACCCTAAAAGATTCATTGATTCAGTGTCTACTCCCTTGTTTCAAAAGCTCAGGGTCAGAAAATTCATTTCCCAGATCATACCCGCACAACCAGAGATAAAATAAGGTCAGATGCCCATAACCTACCTATTATTTCTGCCTCACTAAAGAAGAGAAAAGCGTGTATCCATTACAACAGCAGTGATAAATGGCCCTGGGAGGGAGGATGAAAAACACATACCTTGTCAAAGCAGACAAGGTTTAATTGTCCACATACATTGATCCTCTGGGGGCTAATGCAGAATATGCCCTTCCTTTTCAGCCTCCTCTGGGCATAGATGATGCCTGTGGTCAGGGCAGCTGGGAGGGCGGGAGGCACCGCAATAGTGATAACATCCAAGGCTTTCCTCACCACCTCCTCAGGAGGTTCCTGGAAAAGAAAGCGTGTCCGGTCATTAGAACTAAATCAGCAATGGATGGCCTCGTGCGTGTGACTTCCCCTTTTCTGCTTATGCTGGGAAGGGGCATCCGTGGGGCAAAGGGTCTGACCATGTTTATGGCGCTCGGTATCTTTTCTCCAAAGTACACCAAGAACACCTACAAGCGTCCTGCTGTGACCAGAGATGCACCATTTCGCTGTGGCTCTGCCAGCACTGAGCATCTGGTTGCATTTAGAGTTCTTCATCTGATAGCTGCAAAATGCCACTTTTATGAAATATTTCGCTGTTAAAACTAAATATGAACGAGCGTAAAGAATGGGGGGAAATGCAAGAACAGAATCATGCTGTCATTTCAGTAAACAAACTGTTCCAGTACTATAATCTGATTGCTATCACAGAACTGAGCAGCAAATGGCTCATAGGTGGAGCTGGGTGCCTGTAAGGAGTCTTTGGAGTTTAGCTTGCTTAGTCTGTTTGTCCTTGAAAAAGGGTCAATATAGAAATAAAATGTGTAGAGGAGAGTAAATGTGTGTGTGTGTGTGAAAGCATACAAAGGCTTACCCCACTGAGCACATAGACACACAGAGTATAGATCATGCCAATGGTGGCTGTCCCAACAAGGCACAGGAGGAACCTGATGGCATCCCTGTAAAGCTTGAAATTCATGGGCTTGGGGTAAAGGATGGATCTCACAAGGTCCCCCTTTGCGGTGTTGAACCCTGAAATGACAAACACATGTTCCACATTTTCAGGATAACAAACCACACTGTTAGTAATCATCTAAATGTCTACATTGCTTTGGTCTTCTCTAGAGCAGTAGTTCTCAACATGTGGGTCTCGACCCCTTTGGCAAACTTCTACCCCCAAAAATATCCATGTTATGATTTGTAACAGCAGCAAAATTACAGTTATGATGTAGCAGCAAAAATAATTTTCTGGTTGGGAGTCACCTCAACTGTATTAAAATATCACAGCATTAGGAAGATTGAGAGCCAATGCTCTAAAGAATCTAAAGCTAAAATTTAGACCTAAAGACAACAGGGTTTTGTTGTCTAGGACAATGCATACGGCTAATATGGAAATGTATTATCTCTCTCAGAGCGGAGTCCTCTCCCTGGCTTTCTCCCCCTCTACCTCTAACTTCAGTGCACACCAGTGACAGGGTCTGCCATACCCAGGACAGAGCACAGCTCTTCAGAGCACAGCTTAATTTTAAGGAAGTGACCCTGGGAGTGAGCACAACCTCCCCCCACACACACACACGTCTCCCTCAATTGAATTGAAATTGAGTGACCCAGTAAAATATGATGCATCCCACGTTCTATACCTTTCTAATAGATTTCACTGCTAAAGTTTGAGTTTCCAGCTTCCTGCATGGAATGAACTTGGGATTCTGGTTGGAAATGCTGGGTTTCTGGTCCAGCTTTGCCTGTTTTCAGTTTATCAGGCTTTAACTGACCACTTGACTTCAAGCTTCAGACTCTTCATGTGCACAATGGGGAGGGGTCAGGCAATATGTGTCTTTGCTACTAGCTTGATGTACAAAAGTGTTTATAAACTGCAAAGCACATAAACAGTGATAACTGTAATCTGTGCCACTATTATGCCTCTAAGATGCAGATGACACCCTTCAATCAGCAAGTCAGCATTGAAAACATACAGACTTACATATACTTGTTGTGCTATCCAAAGATTGGTCCCAACCTAATAAATTTAAGGAATTAGACACACTGAGGTCTAATGGTGTCAATGCAAACAGCCTACAGAGAAGACGCTCACCTGTCTGTAGGACCACTGCTCTCACAGTCCCGGAGGCAGCTGCCCGGGCCTGGATGACCTCTGTTCCACAGAAGAGAACATGCCGCCTGGGATCTGCTTCTGTTTGCATCCTCCAGGGTGCAGAGCTAGCCATCTGGGATAATGGAGTTTTAGTGACAGGGATGCTTTCTCCTATAAGAAACAAGTATCTAGCTCACTTTGTGAGGTGGGATGCCTTTCTCCTGTAAATCACATCTACACTCTCTGGTGGGTCACAGAACTTCATCAGGAGCAAAAGTAGCCTAGGTATTTGGGATACAAGACAAGCACAGGTCATGTTGTTGAGAGTTCTGCGCTTTAGAAAAGGAGGGCAGTATGTAACCAAATAAGTAAAATGTCATATTATAAATACTATATGTACTTTAGGTTAAACATAAGCATTCAAATAGGTTGGGAAAAGACATTTATGGAAGAGCAAGCTGTGTGATATGGAATGTGGGATGTAGGGAGTGCGAAGCCATAAGGCCTATGCAGATGCTCAAACATGGAGAACCCCAAGTATGACACAGTTAAGTGTTTAACTTGTTTCTGTAGGCCTGGCATCAGGAAGCAGGGGTATGGTTAACTGCTTTAGTTTGTAGGCCAGTGTTACAATGACGTGTAAGACAAAATTCTCTATCCATGATGCAAGGGATGAGTTCAAGGCTTATGGGGTTGGTGGGTGGACAGTCAGCTGGAAGGTGATCATAAAAGTCATAGCTGGAGGGGATGGAGCCTGAAATACAGCAGGTGAGTGGAAAAGGAAAGAAAGTACTAGATTCAAGAAATATGAAGTAAGATGCTACAAAAATCGAGACAATTGTTATACCAGCAGGTCATAGAATAGAGACAGAGAACTAAAACAGCTTCCTGGACCCTAGCTTGAAAAGAGGACGGGCAACAATAATAAATGTTAAGATTCTAAGAAAACCAGAAATTGCCTTTGGGCCACTGTGGACGGGAGCTACTTGTAGAAGAACCATGTTGAAAAGCTTTGTGTATGGTTGATAGTTATTTGGATCTGGCACTCAGTACTGGTGAGTCAGAGCTCACCAGTTGGGACATGGTAAGTAAAGCTTCAGAGAGAGGAGGAGAGGGAGAGAGATAGAGGAAG